AGCCAGGAGGCCAGTGTGGCTGAGGAGGTAGTGAGAGGGCAGAGGGAAGGAACATAGCCAAAGGGAACCAGATTGCAGGACCTTGTAACAGGCCAGTTTAAGCATTAAACATATTTCCTTACATGAAAAAAACGACATTTTATCTTTCCACAAGTAGTGTGCCCTTTAAAAAATCAAGCAGTGACCCATATTTCCCAGCAGATTGTTATTACCACTGCAACCTTGATTTTGAACCTCATCAGTTTGAGCTGCAGGCCCAGTAAACATTCACCCTGTTGGCCCACCACTGCCATCTAGTGGCTAACATCTACAATGACCAGATATTCTGACCACAGTGGACAGGGAGGAGGGGCACAGAGAGGGAATGAATGCCTTTTGCCAGAGCATAAAGTGTGAAAGCTTTCTGACTCCACTCCAGGGAAATGAAGAAGTTCAGTGTACAGATTACTTTTTCATTGGTTTATATCAAGACTAAATCAGGAAATACTAGAAGCTGTAGCAACAGGTTTTATGAAATGTATTTCAGATTTCATCAGTAGAACTGAAGAAAATTTGAGTTTGAAAGCATTGAACACTAGAAAGACAGTGCAAGTTTTGTGAAAGTAAAAAATTATAAATCAAAAGATGATGAGAAGGATAACAAAGAGAGATGCATAGAGGGAACAAACAGTAATCAAGTGTAACTATAATAATAGATAAAAACTGTCATATCAGTAAAAACAGACTAGTCATTTTATATAGAATTTTGATTATTTTATAAACTATTCATGATGTATTTTGTGAACTTTAATACTTATTCTAATTTTCCATTTTAAAATATCCCATAAGAGTTTTTGAATGAATTTACAGAAATAGTTATCATCTATTATAGCAACATCCAAAGTAGTAACCATTTAAATTTAATTTACATTAATAATTAAAGTTAAATGAAATTTTAAATTCTGTCCTCAGCCCCACTGAGCGCATTTTAGCAACTGAACCATATTTGGCTAGTGGCTACTAGGTTTAACAGTGAAAATAGATTTCCATCATTTTGCAAAATCCATCATGTAGGCTGTGTATTAAAGATAAATTGGAATTATACTTTCAAAAATGGGAGGAGAAAGCATTTTAAGCAGAACACACAGCATTTGCACAGACAAAGAAGAATGAGTTAGTGTGAAATATTTAGGAAATAACCAGTCATTCTTTGTGACAGATGTACATGTGAATGAGCAGGAGGCATCCAAGGTTCAGGTGTACTAGAAGGGTCTTTGATTACAAAGGGCACAGTTAACTTTGCTCTGTGAGGACTGGGGACCCATGGCAATAAGGGGCAAAGTTAATCTTCATTTTAGAGATGACTGTTACAAGGCATAAAAATTGGTTTAAGGGGAAAGGTACTGGGGAATAGCATCACTTGACACCCATTCCATTAGCTCAGGAAGCAGGCACCATCCTAGACCTCTCTGTTGCCTTCATTCCCCATATCATTTAGCCAACAGGCCAAACTTATCTTGTATCCACCTATTTTTTCCATCTTTAGTCTAGCCATCCTTCCTAAAGGGATAACTGTGGTCTTGCATTAACCTCCTCAATGGTCTAACTGTGGTCTAGCCTTTCTAGTCTGCCTAAACAAGGCAAACCAATCTTCTTAAAATTAAAAATTGATCTGAGCCTGTCTCTGCAGAGCATGACATCACATTTCTCCTCATTCTTTTCCTTCCAGTCACTTCAGCCTGAATGCCTCAAGCCCTACCCTGCTGCAAGGCACTTTCATGTAATGTTCCCTTTGCCAAGAGCACTGAATGCATCTCATACTGCCAGTCTCAAGTGTCACTTCTTCCAGGAAGACTCTCAGATTTTAGATGAAAACAGCACCCTAGAGTTAATGTTTGAAGTATTTATAATAATTGTATTGAATTACAATTATATTGCATAGTTACAAAAAGTAATTGTGTGTGTGGTGTGTGTGTGTGTGTGTGTGTGTGTGTGTTTTACCTCTGTTTTCTCCCTTTGCCTGAGAGAACCACAGGCAGAGACTATTTTTCTAATGTATCCCTGGTTCTTTCTATAGCAGGGCCCAGCACAGGTTAGTAAATGCATGAATTTACCAATGAACTTGTTCCCTAATTCACACAGGATAGGATGGATGCCTGGGTGAATGGTGGAAGTAGAATTGTGGAAGATTAAGAGGAGAAGGATGAGTAGAAGATGCATCTGATGTTTTTAGTTTCAGGGACATGTTTGGCATATTACTGGCAGAGTTAGGAAATACAGGGAGCGAAAATAAGCAGCAGTGTGGGGGAAAATTGTGAGAATTGAAGTGTGGACAGATTGCCTTTGAGTTTTCTGTGGAATATTCAACTAAAAATGCCATTTACCAGTTGTCTCTGCCAATCTAAAACTCAAGAAAGACATTCAAACCAAAGAAACACATAGTTGTCTCCAATTCATAGCTGGAGTTAGAAGAATGACGACAGTATAACACAAGCAAAAGTTTGAGTTAAAAGTCAACGGATTTCATTCTTACTGCTGCTCTGACATTTTGCAAACTTTTCCTCTTTTCCCAGCTTTCCTCCCCTTCAGTGACATTAATATAAGCACCATCTATTTCCATGGCAGTGACTTCCCTCACCACTGCCACACCTCTGAGTTTTGCCTTTTCTTCCTGATACTGTCACCTGTCCTCTTAGGAGACACCTCCAGTTGGGAGGAGACTGGTGGGGCAGCAGAGTCCAGAATAGGAGTATATGCTCTCCATGCTGTGGGGGACAGATGGAGCAGGCAGTGAAGTGTCCCCCAGCCTGCTTGTGGGAGCGTCTGGTTATGGATGCTTGGCTGGTGATGGCTGCTATATTCCTTAATTTATTCTTCTCCTGTTTCCTGAGATAACTGTGGAAGAGAATTCTTTATGGAGGCTTCCTTTACTCTTACTTGAGCTAAATTATGTTATGTGTGTGTAATATATTTTGCTGCTTTTTAGTTTTGATTTGTGATGACTCTACTTCTACCCATCACCACTATCCCAGTCCAGCCTTAATGAAAATTCTTCTTGGATCCCAAGAAGGGTCCTTTAACAGTGTCAGAATAGCAGCCTTGGATGCACGGAAAAGACCAGGAAGGCATGGTTAACTCCCAAAGGGAGTGAGAACCAGGCACCCTCACCAAGCCACTCCTCCCTACTCAGTGCCCCCCCAACTGCACTGATATTCTTGTCTGGATTTAATATGTAATAAAAAATAATGTTTCAAATTTGAAAAGGAAAAATGTCAATTCTCCTTCTGTGCTTCTGTTTTTTTTTCACATGGGTAAATAAGACTAATAGTCATCTCGAGATCATAGGTAGTTGGGGAAGATTGAGTCTGGGTATGAAAGACTGTAAAAGACTCAATGAATGTTAATAGGATTAATATTATTAATGATGGAAATTATCCAAGGAAAGCATTTAACTTAAGGGAAAGTGGAAGTATGAATCATTCTGCAAAGGATACAAGGACTAAGAAAGGAAAATGTACACAAGAAAATGGCCTGAGTATCTGATGGAGGCCTAAGAGAGAATGATTTTCTAAGGACCTGAGGAAAGTATTTTTGAGAAAGAAAAAGTCAAAGGTGCTCCAGGGAAGGTTCAGTGAGTAAAGATTGAGGTGAGTGTGGTGGGCCTGATGGGCATCACTAGTGAGGAGAAGACAGCTTATGAAACAAACTGGGGCTGACATAGGTTGACTACTAACCTATCTGCCAAGCAAAGCTTGGAGTCAAGTCACCAGTGTGTTTTCATCAGAACTCAGAGTAAATCAGGGGAAGGATACTTTCTTGAACAATTCAAAGTAACAAGGAAAACACTTGGAAAGTCAGAAGGAAGGCTATTGAGGAATTGGAATTCTGGGGTTCAGCCCTGCTGATAACCTCCACCAGCTCCCTCACCTTGGGTGAGTCTCATTTTGGCTTTGGCATTCTCATCTATGAAGGAAATGAAATAGGTGACCTTTGATGATACTTTCAACTTTAATATTGCTCGCTTGTTTAAATCATTCAGCCTGTCTTAGGTCATTACAAAAAAACTGCAATTTCAATACTTAATGCATCCAGTTGCATTTTTTCACCTACTAATAGTTATAAGTTAAATTACAGAATTCACAAATTCTGAAGTACAATTGGATCAGTAGAATTTTTATTGTCATGGATTAAATAAGACACTATTTCCAAAGGAAGACATTTCTCCCAGGAAGTCACAGGCATATATTTATTTAGGGACTTTAGTAGTAATAGTGGTAGTGGTTATTATAGTAGTTGTGGTACTGGGAATTGAACCCAGGGCATTGCACATTCTGGACAAGCACTCTGCCACTAAGCTATGTCCCTGGCCCTACTTATTGTTTCTTAGGTCCTCATTTATCAAGGTATTTATATAAATATTATAAATCATCATTTCATGATTTGGGTTTTTTTTCCCATTATAATTTATTTGTTATAGATCTGTTCTTAAAATTCCTTTTAACTTTCTTATTCTATAATTATTTAAAATTTCAAACATAATTAAAAAATCAAATTGATTTATTCTTATAAAAGCACAACTGGTATTTTTTGTTCTTGGATGAAGAAATAAAAACATATTTTTGAACTTTATGTTAATTGATTCTTAACACTTATTAATAATTCTAATATGGCTTTTGGTATATTGTAAATCACTTTATTGTATAACATCCTAAAATATTATAAAAAATTGGAAAGATTTCTTTTTTCATTCTTGAATGTGTTCAATTTGGAGATAAACCCAAGTGACTTTTTCATAAAAGCCTACACAGTAAGAAATTTCAAAGGAAGCATGAAGATTTTGTAGATAGTGAAATAAAACCTGGTGATTTTTTGTTTATGTCTCTAACATTTCAGAAAACAATCTACTTTAAAGAACATGAAAGAGGTGCACAGTGAGAGAGATGCATTTGAGGATTGTTTATTGCCAATATTTAAAAAAATAAACACTGCTGACATTCAAGGCCCTCTGTTTTAAATTGCAGCACCTTATGAAATATGCCCAGAGGATTATCTGATGTCGATGGTGTGGAAAAGGACTCCAGCAGGCGATTTGGCATTCAATCAATGCCCACTGAATGCCACAGGTACAGTAAGATGACCCGCCCAAATCCAAATGAAGATTGCTATCCAACAACAGCATGCTGTGCTTGCTTATGAAGTCATGCTTTTGTCTTGTATCCATAAGTAAGTCTGTCCAATAAGCAATTAATGAAACAATTTTAGTAATGTGCTTCCTGAAAGGAGCCAAAAAAGAGGCCCCCAAAATATTGCTGGTGCAATGGTTTTTCAGTGTGACTCACAGGCATTAAAAAAAATAACCCAAATAACAATTTCACATGCCTGTTTTTTAAAGCAAAAAATAGCGTAAGCCCAATTTTCAGCCAGTCTCCCAATTATGCGATGCCTTCAAGCATCTTGTTATAAAGCTTCTCTCTGTTCTTTGTGACACACAGGCACCACTAGCAGACGCTGCTCTCTCAGTCTTCATGGAGTGGCCTTCTGGGAACAGCCGAGCTTTGCAAGATGCATATCAAATGAGTACAGACACTTGCAGCATTCAGTAGGTGCAAAGCCAGCTTTAGTACTTGCTCTGTTTATTTTTTGCTAATGATCATTGTGTGAGAATTTAACCTTCTGCTGTACAATCGAATCAGTAAAGTCTCTGAAAAAAATGCCTAATGGAAAAAGGGATGTGATAGAAAGCTAATTTTTTTGTAAGTTAGGACTAAATTGTTTTATTCCTCAGGCTTGGGTTTGTATGGATCCTGCTATTTAAATGAAAGAATTCCTTGTCTAACGGGAAAAGGCCTAAGCAAAATCTGCTTTCCAGTTTTATGTGTAAGAATTAAACTATATATAATGAGTAATTCAAGTCTGTGTTAAATTCTATATAAGATCTATTTCAAAGCATCATACAATTTTAAAATTCTTTAACTTCTCAGTAATTTGGAAATAACAAAGCTGTGTCACTGAGATGTCAAATTTCTTACTGCAGTTTGAAATTAAGATGTAAAAACAAAATGACAATGTTGTTGCACCAGAGGAATTTAATTACTAGACAAAAATGTGGGGCTCAAGTTTCCAAAGTAGTGCCTGTTACCCACACATCTTTAGACTATACAGAATGTGATACATGGATATTTTGAGAACAATTAAATTTTGCTTGGTATTTCATAAGGGCAAGTCATTCTCATTTTGGACACTATTGCCATTTCATCCTGACAGTTAGGAAGACCTCTATCCATTGGAGTGGTACACATTGTGGGATACAGAATAAAATACCATTATAAGCCAAATGGAAAGTTGAACTTTGGTAGGGATGATGTTCTTTTAAGAGCCTTTATGTTTTGCTGTGCTTGTGTGTGTGTGTGTGTGTGTGTGTGTGTGTGTGTGTGTGTTTTAATGTTCTGATTGTCAACACATATTCTTAAAAAAAAAAAACCCTGAAGGATATCTTGCTTGTGGATGGAGAGGAAGCTTATACAAAAACCACCCTTATCAATTGATGGTATCAGCATTTATCTATTTATCAGAAAAATAAAACAAATTTTTAAAAATCTAGAACTTAGATGCTGAGTAATATATTTATGCATGAAAACAAAAATTGAGTTGATAACTACATAGATCCTTATATCTATCATTATAGATACATATATGTATATTAGAAAGTTATTATTTAGCTACCTAAAACCTTATTTCCACTATATGCTTACATATACTTATAAAAAACATATAATACAAATATATTTATGTATTTCCTATATCGTCAAAAACTCATCAATTTAATTACTGATATGGTATACAAAGGTATTGAACAGTATTTAAATTTCATATTTTTAAAAATTTATTTGTGTTGTGTGTATATATAGATAGATGAATAAAACCTCATTTAATAATAGCTATCAATAACTCATATTGTTCTGTATCAGAATTATATATCAGCAAAATATTTTTATGAGTTTAATTTTAATGAATTTTATTTTTCCGGCATTTTAGACATTAGAGTTTGTTTATTTTAGTCTAATTATATCTATATTCAGTTTTTTCGTAGTCATGATGGTAGATGGAACAATTTCAAGAATTAAGTAAATATAAGCCAATTCTTAGAAATTTGCAAGAATGAGAAAAAATCACATTTTTGCAGAAAAGTATTATTTTCTGAATCCAATGTTCTGTACCGAAATAAGGAAATGAATTTGCATTCTGTGAATGCAGATCATGATAATGAAGAGCCTTCAGTCTGTGAAGTAGAAGAAATAAGATTTCAAGTTACATACCTTATAAAAACAATTCAGTTGATAAATAACAGCCAATGTGCATATGGCCTTGTTGGCATAGGTATAAAATCAGGTGCATGATTTTTAGGACACAAAGCATCTATGTGTTCATCTCCTACAAACCACCTGCTGGGAATTTTCATTAATTAACTCCAATCTTCTTAAGAAGCTTCAACATGTGTGGTATTATTGCCTCAACATGCATAAAAAGAAACTAAAGATATACCTAGAGGGAATCCACCTAAGAGAGGTAAAAAGTGAAAGTTGCACACCAGACACAATTGATCCAATTTCTAATCTCTTTTGTGATGGCCATTCAACCTCCTGAGTCTTTTTTTTTTTTTTTTTTTTAAATCATCTGCCCTAAACTCTGGGACTAAAAGCCACATTTTCTGATTACATGTTCTCAGAAAAAGTCAAACGGTCTCACTCAAGTCTTAGTTTGCTATTTACAGAATGGAAGTCCTTCCTTCATTTTAGTATCTCTGGAAATATAGGGGAAAAACAGATGAGATACTATACATTTATTGTTTGTTTATAAGAGCTGAGTAACTATAAGATATTGAGAACTTTATGTATAGAAAATTCATTTGCATTTAAGAATCCATTTCAATAAGAATAATATTTTAGAGTTTCACATATTGTGGACTTGAGCTATGTGTGTAGAAAAATATAGATAAATTAATATAAAAAGATAGATAAGGAGGATGAGAGAAAGTGTAGATATTATATATATATTTTATACATGAATTATGTTTACCTATACATGTATGAATGCTCACACACTTACACATGCACATATTAACAAATCTAGTGTTTGCCTAAGGATGGTGATCTGCTTTACATGTTCATAGGAATATAGGATCAATCTGTGTCTTCAGAGATGTCACCTCACACATTAGCCTCACCATCCATATCCTACAGAGTACACTGAAGATGGAAATGAGGTCAGCTTCCTTCCATACACTTACTCTTCTTGCTTCTTTAAGCTATGTTGTGTCTGACTGGCATAGCTGGATAAGGCCTGTGAAATAGAACAGTTGAGACTCCCACAAATCCAAAATTATTTTGCAGACTATATTTTCTCCTGTATCAATTCAACATTTAATCCTTGAAGAATTTTACTTTTTAAAAAATTTTCTATAATCATAAAGCTCAATAAATTATTAAAATTACTTTAAAAAAATAATCTACTACAGGTAATGATTTAAAATAAATAGACCTGTTACCAACTCTTTCACATAGAATATATGTACATATACACAGTTATAAAATCTGTAATTATAATTTGCTATTAAATACATTTTAAAAAATATAAAGTCAGCAATCTTAAACATGTAGTTTGAGTTATTTGAGGGTAAGAACCATGTTTTGTCTTTATTGTTTTATTGCCTAGCACAATGCTGAATACAGACTAGAAATTCTGTGGCTACGTGAATAATTTTGCTACTTTTCTTCATGGTAGGATACTGGAACTAGAGAGCACTAAGAACATGATACACCAGAAGTACTGTTCATGAATTTATAAATACTATCCTCCATGTGCAATTTCTGTAGCTGAAAAAATATCTAGAAATGTGGAGTGATTGATAACAACACCTTATGAAATTATTTAGTTATTACAGAACAATTTCTGTAAGCTATTACCTGTGAAGTTTGTTTGGAAACCTTATAAGATACAAAGTTAAACACTATGCTCCAAGTGTTGCTTTTAAGAAAAGATAAGGCACAAACATGTGCACACTCTTTAGTAAAATTAGAAATACAGGAACAAAATACTAAATGTTAAGTAGCATTATTGGACATTTCATATCTTCTATGTATTAATGTGTCATTTGATAGTGGGAATTTTTTAAATAATATACTAAATGAGGTAAAATCATTTTTTTTTACCTATTGAGAAATAGTCACAGGATTCAGATAAATGAAGAATATCATTTTTTTTTCACAAGTAAAACATGCTTTAATGAGAGTCAACTTAATAGCAGGAGAATAATTCTCAAGTGCTTAAGAGAAGATATCTTGTTGAACCACTGATATCAGTAATGTAAAGATCACAAATCACTTATTTTTTCTAAATTTGTTCTAATTAGTTATACATGACAGTAGAATGCATTTTGACACATTGTACAAAACAACTTCTCCTTCCTTTGACACGGTGCAGAGTCACACCAGTAGTGTAATCATACATTATATTGTTTTGTCCCTCTTGCAGAAGCTTTCCCACCCCCATACCCTCTCCCTTCCCCTCACTTCCATCTGCACAATCCACATTTTCTTCATTCTTCCCTACCTAACCCATATTATGAATCAGCATCCACTTATCAGAGAGAACATTCGGGCTTTGGGATTGGCTTATTTCACTTAGCATGATATTCTCTAGTTCCATCCATTTACTTACTTACAAATGCCATAACTTTATACTTCTTTAGGGCTGAGTAATATTCCATTGTGTATATGTACCACATTTTTTTTTTATCTATTTATCTGTTGAAGGACATCTAGGTTGGTTCCATAGTTTGGCTATTGTGAATTGAGCTGCTATAAACTTTGATTTGGCTATGTCACTGTAGTATGCTGATTTTAAGTTCTTTGGATATAAATCAAGGAGTAGGATAGCTGGGTCAGGTGGTGGTTCTATTCCAAGTTTTATGAGGAATCTCCATACTGCTTTCCATATTGGTTGCACCAATTTGCAGTCCCACCAGCAATGTATGAGTGTACCACACATCCTTGCCAAAACTTATTATTGCTTGTAAGAATACCATTTCTTATTGCTTATAAAATTATCATGAGAAATGATGGAATTCTGTGTCTAAATAGGCCAGGGTGCCCCTCAGTTAAGCGGACCAACTTTGTCATTGGTCACCTAGACAAAAACTCTCTCTTTCCCTCTTTCTCTCTTCCCTACACACATATGCACAGACATGCATCTGGAGAGAGAGCCTGTATAAAACTGACAAAATATGAGGGATGGGGAATTGAGAAAGGCTAAAGACATTGCACTAATAAAAACTCATCCATACAGAAATTGGAAGAGCTAAGTATAAATGTTCTCCTTTGAGATGTTTCTTAAGGTGTCTGTTTCAGTTTTTCAAATCTTCATTAAATGAGCAAACACAAAAGTCAGAGTGATAATTTATCTAGTTTTTGAAAGTTTGACTTCATGATAAGAGATATCAAAGAGCTGGAATCTTGGTTTAAGGACTTTATTACTCCTTTTATTGGTGGTTTTTGAGAAATAATGAGACAAAGGTAGAGAGGGATTGAAATACAGAGACAG